AAACAGATTGGAGAGAGTCCCACCGACTGCTCCTGCGTTCAAACCCAGATTCTCGAACAAACCCTTGGCAAATGGTGGGGAGGAGGAGAAAGGTCGACCATCTGTCGATCCCAAAAAGTTGGCAGAAACGCAATCTGCCGAAGACTCATGACTCAGAACAGGTACATCATGCACGCCTCCCTCTGGAAGCGGGAATCGCCCTTTCTCCCCCCCCCTCAGGCCTCAGGACCTGCGGGGGGGGCTGCATGTAACACACGGTCCGCACGAGCCCGAACGTCACCTGGCGCAGCTGCAGGGTCTGGTGGTCCGTCTCCAGGAGGCGCCGCCTCGGGCGCAGCAGCACCCTCACCTCCTTGGCCAGGGGGCGCAGCCCGTGCGGCTGGAGAACTGCCACTTGCACCACTGGGCGCACCACCAGGGGTAGCACATCCCGCAGCGTGAGCGTCATCTTGTTCACCCATTCTGCGACGCTTTGCCTGTAGACGCTTGAGCTGTTCTGCCTGAGCATCCTTGAACGCCTTAGACTTCGCAGCAGCATCGCCGAAAAGTTGTTGCACCGCAGCCTGGATACCTTCTTGGAGTTGTTCCAACCTCTTGGTGGCCTCACGCTTATCTTCCTCCGAAAACTCGTACTCCTCCTCGGCCGCGAGTAGGCTGTCCAGGCAGATGGGCAGGGTCTTCCCGCTGAGGAGGTCGTCGATACTGAGCTGCGGGCCAGGCTTGGGTTCCTGTCCGCACCCCGCGGCAGACTGCAATTGGCTGACGAGCGACTTGTGTTTCTCCTCGGCCACCTGCAGCTCGGCCCTGAGGGTACGAACACGGTCCCGTTGCTTGTCCAGCTCGCCCTCGAGACGCTCGAAGATGGTGAGGCTCTTCCCCAGCTTGGCCTCGAGCGTACGCATCTCGTTGAAGGCGCGGTTGACCTGGTGCTCCAAAGGAACCATGGTCTTGGCCTCGTCGTTCTGGCGTTGAATACGCATGTCGAGCTCCTTCTGCCACTTCTCAGCGGCCTCAGGGTCGCCCATACGACGCAGCCCGTCGACGAGCCCTCGCAGCTGTTCGATGTCGGAAAGCTGGGTCCCCGCAGGCGGGGTGCCACCCCCGCCAGCCATGAGCTGAGGGCCAGGGCGACGAGGAAGGCCATCAGCATGATGACTCCCAGCGGGTGCCCACGTACCAGGAGGCGCGGAACCTCACACCCCTTGAGGCTGCGGCCACGGCTGGTCCATCCTCGGGGTCGAGCGCCAGGCCCAGCAGTTCTTGCACTGCTGCCACCCTTGTTTGTTCTTCTTACATCCACATGAAACGCACGTCCAAGTGGATCCTGTCGAGTACTCGCAGTGTCCCCAATCGTCCTCGAGAGATCGCGCCGCCCTCCATGGCCAGCTGGCAGCCCTCGCGGGGGCAGAGTGCTGGGCGGGCCCTGGCGGCGCCATGGCGGGAAGAAGCACTGGGAGGAAGGTATCTTGTCAAATCACTTGGCTCGCAGGAGCGCGCGCCCTTCCGAAGAACGTCCCTGCAACGCAACTTGGCGCAGAAGGGCTTGGAGGAGGAGGAGGAGGAGGAGGAGGAGGAGGAGGAGGAGGAGAGGAGGAGGAGGAGGAGGAGGAGGAGGAGAGAGGAGGAGGAGAGGAGGAAGGAGATGAGGAGGAGGAGGAGAAGAAGAACGAGAAGAAGAAGAAGAAGAAGAGGAGGAGGAGGAGGAGGAGGAGGGAGGAGGAGGCGGAGGCGGAGGAGGGCGGAGGCGGAGGAGGGGAGGAGGGGGAGGAGGAGGAGGAGTGAGGAGGAGGAGGAGGAGGAGGCGGAGGAGGAGGAGGAGGAGGATAATGGGAGGATGTGAGGGGGAGGGATCGGGGGAGGAGGAGGGGGGGAGGAGGAGGCGGAGGAGGAGGAGAGGAGGAGGGGGAGGAGGAGGGAGGAGGAGGAGGAGGAGGAGAGGCTGAGGGCGGGAGAGGAGGAGATGGAGGAGAGGAGTGGGGGAGGAGGAGGGGGGAGGAGGAGAGAGGAGGGGGAGGGAGGGAGGGGCCCCTTAGACGCCCCCTGTGCAGGGTGCTCCCTCGGCCTTCTGCGCTCTCTGGGCCCCCTCTGCTGGCCCGCGAGGCTGAGCCCGGAGCGGTCAGGAGGGTGGCCAAACGTTCCCGCGGGAGGCCCGAGCGGCCTCAGCAGGGGGGGGTGAGGGCGACGACCGTGCCCCTCGGCCCGAGGCGAGGGAGGAGGACAGGGAGGAGAGGGGGGGAGGGAGAGGAGGAGGAGGAGGAAAGGGGGGAGGGAGAGGGAGATGAGGCAGAGGACAGAGGATCGGGAAACAAAAAGTGGCATAAACATAAAAACTCGGAGGTCCGCGCGGATTTCTCGGAAAGGCGCTGGACCCCCCCCCCTGCCCCCTGGCGGCGCTTCCAGCGCCGCCCCTGGCGCGCTCCGCGCGCCAGGGACAAATACCAGACGCCCGAAGACGGCCCAGAGAACTCCCGAGAGCCCTTCCGAACGCAATGAAAAGGATTCGCTTTCGGCTCGTGCGCGATTTGTGGATGCTCGCTTCTTCTGTCTTCCGCGCGTTCGAGACCGTCCACGGGACCTTGAAAATCGCCCCGCAACGACCCGAAAGGGCCTGCGGACAGTGTCAGGGAGCCCCAAGACGGCCCAAGAGGGCCCCGAGATGGCCCGAAGAGAGCCCTCAGACTGGCCAGACCGACTACAGGCCGCCCTCCGAAGCACTCCAAATCGTGACCCGGCCTATGATGGAAGCCGTGGTTCGCAGCAAGGTGGCCGGAGAAAGCCCCCAGAGGCACCCAAAGGCGTCCAGGAGGTCCCAGAAGCTCGGAAGAAGCCCCCAAGCAGGTTTCGTCAGTCCCCCAGGAGGCCATCCAAGGAGGAGTGTCCGCGAAAACATGTAGAAGACGCGGAAGGGTTCGCAGGGTCAGTCGAGAACTAGGAAGAGGAAGAAAAATACATTAATGATCAGGAAACGCATGTTGTAACGAAGACGGCGAAAACGGCAACAAGGAGGTGTCGTTGTTTCACTTGTAGTATCCTCTCTCATTCCGCCCGCTGGTCGACGTTCAAGGACCAAGGTGCATGGCGCGAAACGTCAATGTAGTCGTTTGTATATCTACATATATACATATAACGGCGCACCGGGTCCGGGGGCCCGGGGCCGCGGGACCTCGACCACAAATGTGGGCCCCGGGGGGCCCGGAGGCTCGTCGGACCGCCGAACGCCGTCCAAGATCGTTCGCAGGCGGCTTCGGAACGCGCTCCGATGGCTCCAGATGCCTTCCAAGACGCCTGTCATGACACCAAGAAGGTCCCAGAAGCCTCCAAGACGCTCCGAGAGGCAGCCCAAGAAGAGCCTCCAACGGCCTAGGAGGCCTCCGGGAGCGCTCCAAGGCTGCGCACGGAGGGCTCAGGACGGCCCCCAAGAGACCAAGAGACAGAGGCACCAGACGAGTTTCGAGCGGGGTCCCAGACGGAGAAAAGCCAACCTCGAATTCCGAGCTTCCGGCCAAGAGCTCCAGGAGGCGCCAAAAATGCCGCCAAGAGGCGCACAAGCTCCCAAAAAGCACCCCAAGACGTTCCGAGAGGCACCCCAAGAGAGGTCCAAGAAACCCCAAAAATCGTGCCATCCTGATGGGAAAAACGTATATGTTCGCATGTTCGCATCTTGGGCTTTCACCGCGTCCAAGACGGCCCCAAGAGGGCCTCCAAGGACGGGCCTAGGGAGGCCTCCGGGAGCGCTCCAAGGCTGCGCACGAGTGGCTCAGGACGGCACCAAGACGGCCCAAGAGAACCCCAAGACGACTTCGAGAGGGGTCCCAGAAGGAGAAAGCCACTCTCGAATTCCGAGCTTCCGGCCCAACACATCCCAGGAGGCGCCAAAACGCCGCCCAGAGGCGCCAAAAGGCTTCCCAAATCAGCCCAAGACGTTCCGAGAGGCACCCCAAGAGAGGTCCAAGAAGCAAAAATGGTCCCATTCCTATGGGAAAACGTATACTTTTCGCATGGTCGCCTGTTGGGTTTTCACCGCGTCCAACACGTCCGAAGAGGCTCCCAAGACGGCCTAGGTGGCCCCCAAGAGAGTTCCAAGACGGTTCACGAGGCGCCAGGACGGCAAAATTGGACTCCAAAATGGCCTAAGAGAGCCCCAAGGCGTGCCCGAGAGGGGTCCCAGAGGGAGAAAGCCACTGTAGAATTCCAAGCTTTCGGCCTCAAGAGGCTCCAGGAGGCGCCAAGAGAGCTCCAAGAAGCCCCCACGAGAGACCCAGGACGCCCCAAGAGGCTCCAAAGGCGGCCCAAGAGAGCCCCAAGATGGGCCCGAGAGGGGTTCCACGATTCCTGGGTCTGTGACTCGACAGAACCTAAGCGCGCGCGAAGCGCGCGTGGTTCTAGTATGTATGTATGTGTATATATACATATATGTCTGCATGTATATATCTAATCAGTGTTGATTGATGCATATCTCGTTATCTCTTGCGTTTTGTTGTTTCTCCCTCCCTCTCTCCCCTTCTCTCTCATTATATCTCTGTGATTCTTTATGTGTGTATATGAGGTGTGTTCTATATCGCTCTCTCTCTATATATATTTATATATATGTTTCTCTCTCTCTCTCTCTTTCTCTCCCCTCCCTATCTCTCTCCTCCCTATATATATATATGTATGTATTGCTTGTTTGTGTATGTATGCGTATCTCTCTGTATCCCTCTCCCTCTCTCTATCTCTCTCCTTCTCTTTATATAGATGTATATTCCTCTCCCCCTGACTATTCATGAAAGTATAGTTACCTGCTTCATAGATCAACCTATGATGTGTTCTCTCTCTCTCTCTCTTTATCCCTTTCTCTTCGCCAGTCTAAGTATTTCTCTCTTTGGTTCCCTCTCTCTATATGTATGTCGATTTTTCCGAGGTCTGTTTCCGGGGACGTCCCCCCCTGGAGGGGTGCTCGGCTCGTCCATCGCCGTCGTGACGATGGCGGCGACGACGACGACGCCGTCCTCCCGCCAGAGGACTCGAGGGGTGCTTTGTCAACTCCTCCGAAGGACTCGCTGAGGCCGTTGCAGGCGCCTGCGAGCCAGGGGTGAGGGGGGGGGGGGGCACTCAGACGTTGCCTTTGGCATTTGTTCGAGTGGAGGGGGGCAGCTCGTGTGGGGTGGGCCCCTCGTGGTCACGGCGGGTTTCGCCCCCCACAAGCCTGGCGATCCAGCTACGCGTTGCCACCCCCGCCCCCCCCTCCTCTCCTCCTCCTCTCCTCCTCCTCCTCCACCTCCTCCTCCTCCTCCTCGCACCTCCTCTTCCTCCTCCTCCTCCTCCTCCTCCTCCTCCTCCTCCTCCTCCTCCTCCTCTCTCCCTCCTCGTCCTCCTCTCCTCCTCCTCCCTCCTCCTTTTTTCTCCTCCTCCTCCTCCTCCTCCTTACACGTCTCCTCCCGCCTCCTCCTCCTCTCCTCTCCCTCCTCCTCCTCCTCCTCCTCCCCCTCCCGCTCTCCTCCTCCTCCTCCCCTCCTCCTCTCCTCCTCCGCCTCCCCTCCTCCCTCCTCCTCCTCCTCCTCCTCCTCTCCTCCTCCGCTCTCTCCCGTGCCCGCCCCCCCCCCCCCACACGCCACATGTGATACGACTGCGGCCTTCGCTGAGCGTCACGTCCCAGGGGCACTGTCGCGGGGAGCAGCCGCTTGTGCTGCAGAGGCCCCCGCGGCGTGTGCATGCAGGCCGCTGATGTCTACCCCTCGGTGGCGGGGGTGGCACGGCGGAACCGCCGCCGCCGCCATCGAAGAGGGCTTCCCAACCTCACCCTCTCTGGCTTGAGCGGGAGGGCGCACGCAGGGCTGAGCAGCGCAAGCAGCCCCCCCCCTCCGACTGCCGGCTGCCAGCAGCACGAAGCAAAGGGGGTTGAGCTGATGCTTGCTCCGACGATGATCACGTGGTGGACGCGTCGAGGAGGAGTTTGAACTTCTTGTAGATCTGACGGGGTGTTTCGTGTTTGTGAGTGTCACGAGTCCTGATGATGTTTGTCGGTGATAGCCTCCCGGGGGCCGTTGCCAGGCCCTGGACCCGACCGAGAATTACTTCGGATGAGCAGAGTTGCTTTGGAGAAAACCCCAGGCCCCAGGACTCGTTTCCCGCAGGACCCCTTCACCTTCATGCGAATTTCAATGATGTTGCCCCCCACTCTGGCCGCGATGAGGGGTAGGACATGAATGACACGAACTTGGCTTCTGGAGGCCAGAGTTTTACCCATGCACCCACTGCGCCCCCTCTGAAGAGTTCTGGCTTGAGCAGGGGCCTGGATAGAACGTCGATCGCCTGAAGTCCTGGCCGGAACGCGCTCCAGAAGGGGTCTGTGGTTGGCTTCCGAGGAGGGCAGGGTGAGAGGAAGGGGGGCTGAGGATCATCCTCCTCCCTTTTACTCTTCCTCCTCCCCCTCCCCCTCCTCCTCCTCCTCCTCCTCCTCCTCCTCCTCCTCCTCGTCCTCCTCCTGCTCCATCTCCTCCGCCTCCCTTCTCCTCCGCCTCCCTCCTATTATTTCACTTCCCTGCTCCCTCCACCTCCGTAGCCATTTTGGCTCAAGCTGGCTCGAATCCCCTTGGCGTGTCGGGCGGTGTGGGCATGGTGGCTGCGGGATTCGCCCCCCCCCCCCCCCCCCCCCCCCCGGCCTCGTCGTGCGCGCCGTGCGTGTGTGTGTGTGTGTGTGTGTGTGTGTGTGTGTGTGTGTGTGTGTGTGTGTGTGTGTGTGTGTGTGTGTGTGTGTGTGTGTGTGTGTGTGTGTGTGTGTGTGTGTGTGTGTGTGTGTGTGTGTGTGTGTGTGTGTGTGTGTGCGTGCGTGTGTGCGTGTGCGTGCGTGTGCGTGCCTGCGTGCATGCGTGCGTGCGTGCGTGCATGCGTGCATGCGTGCATGCCTGCGTGCGTGCGTGCGTGCGTGCGTGCGTGCGTGTGTGCGCGTGTGTGTGTGTGTGTGTGTGTGTGTGTGTGTGTGTGTGTGTCTGTGTGTGTGTGTGTGTCTGTGTGTGTGTCTGTCTGTCTGTGTGGCGATCGGATGTGGGCGGCGCGGCCGCCAGGCGGCAGCGGCAGCTGCGCGCGGCTGAGTCGGCCGAAGGACACGTGAAGAGGTCGGTGGGCGAGCTAGCTGCCGCGGAGCAGAAGGTCGAGCGCTTGCACGGCCAGGTAGAGGCCTTGTTCGGCGAGCCCGAGCTGAGCTCGCACTTGGCAGCCTACGCCCCCGCGCGTGCCTCGTGGCTGGCGGGGCGGGCGCCGAGCGACTTCGACGGGCGTCGCAGGAATGTCCCTCTCCGTGCGCACGCGGAGGACCTCGACGTCGGCACGGCCGGTCCTGACGCGCTCAGATCAGCGCCGCGCAGGGCCCGTTTTGGGTCTTGCGCGGCGTGGCGGCGCGAGGTGAACGACGATGCGGTAGGGCAGGCTGCGTAGGGGTTCGCCGTCGAGTCAGCCGCTGATGATGCTGCTGCGTGGCCGTCTGGGGAGCAAGAGGGCGAAGCTGCGGAGCTGCGCGAGTGTGTGTGGAACGTGGAGGCTCCCGTGGTTGTGCCCGCCGAGGTGTTCAAGCTCGTGTTCGAAGGCGTGTTGTGTAGCTGCGGCACCGTGGTCTTCTCCAGCTGCGAATGGCTGCCGCTGTGGGCGCTGACGTTTGCCTGGCGAGGGCCGGGGGGCAGCCGCACGCGGGCAAGACGGCCGACGGGGAGGACCATTCCAGGAGCAGATCACAACAGCTGTCCAGCTGCCATGGGCAATGCGAGCAACGGCGGCGGCCTTGTCGGCAGGTGCGACGGGGCCTCGGAGGTTTGCTGCGGACGCTGGCGCGCCAGGCGGCCAGGCGCGCCGTGCTGGCGCTCCCGTCTTCGTTCCGAGAGAGAGGGATGGCACCACAGGGGCTTCCTTGCGACCCAAAAGGAGGTCCAGCTGAAAGGGGGTGGTGCAACAGCTTTGGGGCAATTGTATTGCAAATGTGTTGCGCCAGAAAGTTGGATTGCACTGCGTTGCAACTAACGTATTGCACGCGAAAGCCCAGCCATACATCTGCGCCCCGGAATGTATCGCACGCCCCGAATCTACTGCAATTCCATAAATCTATTGCACCAAATCTATTGCACCACCCCCTTATCGCTGGACCCCCTTTTGGGTCAACCCGAGGGTTACATGATCTGGTCGAGCCTGCTGGTGACCCCGTGTCTGAGCGGGGCACGGACGAGCAGCAGCAGCAGCGCAGGGCGGTTGCTGACAGTGTGGAGGTGGACGGGGCGCCGAAGAGGAATCGTGGCGCGCTGAAGTCCTACATAGAGCCTGCCCGCTGAAGCCATCTTAGCTAGCGTTGGCTGTGGATTCCGTCGCATTGCCTAGGGCGCGGATGCTCGTGCTCCTCCTGCGCCCTGGGACGGAATCTTGCCCTGAGATGCGGAGGCTTGTGTTCCTCTTGCGTCTCAGGGGCAGTGTGCAGCCGCGGAGGCTCGTGTTCCTCTTGCGGCTCTGTCCTGGGGTTGCGGAGGCTCGTGCTCCCCCTGCGACCCTCAGGGGCTGCTGACAAAAAGCTACCCCGTTTCGACGGGTTGTAACCCCGTAGTCTCGTAATCCCTCTCCCTCCTCGTCCTCTTCCTCCTCTGCCTCGGCTGCGTTTGCAGTGGCGCTGCTCTTACTGTCAAGCCGACATCAAGAATGGGCCCTTCTCGCGAGGGCACCTTGCATCCTTCGGTTCTGGCCATCGTTAGCGCGTTTTCGGCTTCCCCTGCTAAGCGCGCCCTTTCGAAGCGGCGCGTTCCAAGGGTTTTGCTTCCTGTAAGTCCATCCTCATGGCTGAGCTTGTCTGTGTCCCCTGTTTGTTTTCTCTGCTGCCAGCCAGGGGGTTCTGAGACAGCAGCTATCTCGCATGTTCGTTGGGATTATCCAGCGACGCTGCCTTCTCGACAAGCCTACTGTGTCTCTGACCATGTACAGCGAGTGCGTGCTCGGCATCTACCGGACCCTCTCTGGTACGCTTGCAATGCTCCATAGATTGAGAGTTTATTATTTTTCCCGCCATTGAGCTTAGCATTCGCGGGGTGTTCCCAGGTCTTCGAGTGCCGTTCTCACATCGCCAGTCTTTGGAGATGGTTCAGGAAGCACGGTCCCTCCCCACTGGCCTACTGCCGCGAAGATGTTTTTATTCGGGCGTCTCTGTTGACACGCATGGCTTCCCCATCGTCGCTGCATTGGGACCTTGCCTTGGACTCGTTCAGTGTGTGCTGGGCCCAGAAGCGATTGCATGTGTGGTGCATGTGTTGCATGCTCTTACTCGTTTGGTATCCAATCTTACAGTGGGGGCGCGCATCAAGAAACCATATGTTTTTCGTCAGGGTGTCCTGGGTTTCTTCGCTCCGCGCGCTGCGCGGCGACTTCACGCGGCCGTTGAAGGAGCTGCTGCGTTCAGAGTGCTCCAGGTTTCCCCTCCGGTGCACCTCGCGCGCGGGTTTTCAGGGTTAGGTTTCTTGCGAGGTTTTCTTGCGGCCGCGCCCGCACTGTAGTATACCATGTGATTTCCAATCCGACAGACTTTCACCCTCGAAGTCTGCATTCGTGACGCACGGTATCACGTGCGCGGATGCATACGCCGAGCAAGGTGCAGACACGCATCCCTGAGGAAGACACGGCAATGACCCGCAGCGCGAATGCCGCTGCCGAGTAGCGCTGGTTGTCGCCGAGTAATTATGCCAGGTATGTGTGTTGTCGAAGCTCTTTTGCTCTTTTCCGATGGCCAGTCCCATCCTGGCTCCTACCTCTCTGCCTCCCTAGCTTCGTGGTGGACGCCCCTTTCCATAGGCCCGTCTCACACCTACCCGCTGGGATTTCATCCATCCCGTGAGTTATGCCCCGCCACAGACAGCCAGGGCCAGCATGTCCGACGAGCAGGTCCGATCATGTTCTGCTGGCTATCCGATCATGTTCTGTCCTCCTCCTCCTCTTCCTCCTCTTGTTGTAAAAATTGTCAGTCACCTCCAGATGCGTGCTGGCGTCGGCCGTGCTGCGCCTCGCACAGCGCAGCCGCGACCCTTGTCGAGCGACGGGCGACATCCCACAACGGACGAAGGATCTTCCTCCTCCTCCTCCTCCTCCTCCTCCTCCTCCTCCTCCTCCTCCTCCTCTTCGACATCCCAGAACGGACGATGTTTCGGGCCTTCTGATCGTCCCAGCGGCACGTCTCTTCGATGAGCCCTTCGAGGCTCCAGCTCGATTCGTGCCGCCCCCTTGCCCACCATAGGCGCGGGCTGTGGTTTGGCCAGCCTCCTCAGCGTCTGCGTGACACTTTTCGCGGAGCGATGCAGTGATTGGCGGCAAGCGAGGGGGGGGGGGGGAAGTCAGAAGGGGCGGGTCTTCTCAGGAGGCTCGGAAGCCCCCCGGCCTTCCGAGAAGCTCTCCGAGCCTTCCCCCAAGCTGCGGGCAACGTCTCAGAAGGCGCGAGGGTTTCTGAGGAGTCCCGTCGCCTTCCGAGGAGGCCTTCTCCCGCTGACTTCCCCCCTCGCTCGCCGCCGAGACGAACGGCAGGCCGCCCGTGCGGCCCAGAGGTCGACCTGGCGGCCCCGACTTCCCGGGCCTCCACGGAGCCGCCCCCCCGCCGACGGGCGGGGGCACGAGGAAGGGTAAGTGCACGTGCTGGCGCGTCAGGGGTGTGCGGGGGGGGGGGGGGGGGGGGCCAGGCCCGGGGGAGACCGGGGGAGGAGGGGAGGACCAGGAGCTGCAGGAGGAGGGAGGTGGAGGGTTTCTCCGAAGGGCTCAGGCGATCCGTCCTCCTCCTCCTCCTCCTCCTTCTCCTCCTCCTCCTCCTCCTTCTCCTTCTCCTCCTCCTCCTCCTCCTCCTCCTCCTCCTCCTCCTCCTCCTCCTCTTCCTCGGGTCGCCTACGGCCCCTGGGGAGACCGTCCAGAGGGAGGGGGGTGGGGAAAGGAAGAGGCGTGCGGGAGGAGGTGGAGGAGGCAGATGGGGGCGGACAAGGTATACGCCGTGCACCGCGCTACACGCGCAGGGTGCGCCGCCCTCGGGATTGCCTGCGCCCACCACTGAGTGGCCCCGCCCCCCCCCCCTCCCCAGATCCCCGACGTAATGATTCTTTCAACGGCGTCGACCCCCGGAGGTTTCAACCTATTCCCCGGGGCCGATGTTTCATCCTGAGTTGTTTTTTGAAGGTCCCGCGAAGCCCGGGAAGGGCCCCCAGGGACCGAGAATGGCGAAACACGTCCCGCTGTAATTTTTGTCACTGCTCGAGGGGGTCTGGCTCCCCCCTCCTCTGAGGGCCCCAGCGTTCAACAGGAAGGCGTGGTGACCCCCCCTCCCCCTCCCCTCCCCCCTCTCGAAGCTGGTCCCTCCCCCCCCGCGGTGGCGTCTGGGGAGGAGGAGGAGGAGGAAGAGGAGGAGGAGGAGGAGGAGGAGGAGGAGGACGAGGAGGAGGAGGAGGAGGAGGAGGAGGAGGAGGAGGAGGAGGAGGAGGAGGAGGAGGAGGAGGAGAGGGAGGAGAAGGGGTCGCCCCCCCGGAGGCGTCCGGGGGGCCCCGCGCTCGGGCGCCCACGGGCGCGCGGGGGCCCCCGGGTCGTGGCGGGGGGGCGCGGCGTGCGGGCAGCTGAGGCTGCTGCGAGAGGTGGCAGCGGGGGGAGGGGGCGGGATCACTCTGATGAGGCTGTTTTCCACCACCACCACCATAAGCTGGAGAGGGGGAGGAGGAGGAGGACGAGGATGAGGACGAAGAGGAGGAGGTGGAGGAGGAGGAGGAGGAGGAGGAACCCCTCCCCCTCCAACTTGATTATGGTGGTGGTGGTGGTGGTGGTGGAAAACAAGCCCATCACACTCGGCACCGCTCGGGCGTGTGCATTTTTTCAGGCGGTCGCAAACCCATACCCATTGTTTCAGGCGATCGCAATGAAGAAATCACGACGGGAGGTTTTTCGCCGTTTTCGGCCTCCGGGGGCCCTTCCTGGTCTTCGGGACCTTCAAACAACGACTCAGGATGAAAAACCGGTCCCGGGGAATAGGTCGAAACCTCCAGGGGTCGACGTCATGAAAAAATCATGACGTTGGCGGTCTGGGAACATGGATCAAGGGGGCGTGGATTAGCGACGGGTCCCGTTTCCACTGGAAATCGCGGATTTCCGCCGCCGAGCGAGGCGGCACCGGCCGCCTTTTGGGGAGGGCACCTCTCCCGAGCCATGGATTTGGCGACCGCGCGCCAAATCTACGGATCGCTAATCCATGTTTGCGCGCCCCCGATTTTTCTCGGCGAGGATCTTGGTGGGCACTGGGAACGACAGGCCGTTTTGTACCGGTTCCGCTCTGCAGTTTTGTTTGCCTGTTCCGTCGCCGTTTTCTCGCTGGTTCCGGCGCCGCTTCTTTTCCGGATCCGGCCCCAGTTCCAATCCCGCAGCCGTTTTTTGTTGTTTCCAGTCGTCGTCTTCTTACCGCTTTCATTTTCAAGAGACACTTTTCCGAACACGGTGAAAGAACGGCACTGCCGTTTTCGCGGCCCAGTAAGGCGAGGACCATCGAGGAGCATCCCGGATCATCTGGCAAACAAGCACGCACGGCCACGGCACCGAAAAGTGCACGAGCAGTGGACGCCCGAGCGACAGATAGTCAGATCATGAGGTCCTCGTGGCACCGCACAGAACCACAACCACGACCAAGGGGATTTTTCGAGGGCCCTTCGGGGGAGAGCCGACCGACCTCGGCACGAGCACTCTGGCTGTGGTTGTGGTCGACCTGGCCGTCCTGGGACGCCACGCCGACCGCAACGGGCACGAAGCAGGCGCCGGTGCTCCGCCAGTTCTTGGCAGGCGCAAGACGCCCCCCAGGGCGTGCACTCCAAATCCCTTCTTGATCGTTCCCCGGGTCCCGCCTTTGAAGACGTCTTTTTTGCAGCTGGGGGGGTCCGGTTTACTAGGGCGCTTTCTTTGGATTGGAGCTTGGGGGGTCCGGTTTATTTCGGGCGCCCCGGCGACGAGGGGGGTCCGCAACATCAGGTCGCATTTGAAAGAGGGTCCAGTTTTTTAGGGGGGTCGAGTAATGAGGGATTCCCGACCGATCCTCGCTCCTCCACCGGAGGCGTGCTCGCGACGCGCAAGCTGGAGGTCCTCGGCGGCCTGCAGGCCACGCCCCCGCCCCCCGAGGACCGCGGCGACGCCGGACGACGATGGCGGCCGATGGCGGCCGACAGCCGACGACCGACGACGGACGACTGCTGGCGACGACGGCCGCCGGCGACGACCGACGACCGCGACGACGGCGGACAGCCGACGACCGACGACGGCCGACGGCCGACGTCCGACGGCCGACGACCGACGGCCGACGACGACGACGACCCCCGAGATACGGGCGCTGCAGTTCGTTGACGGTTTGCTGCACGTTGCACGGGGCGTCTCTTTGCCCGGCTCTGGCCCCTGGGACCATCACAGATCGGCCTGCCTCGAACAGCGCAGCAGAATAATGGCATCGCTCGGACGTGTGCGTTTTTCCTTCGGCGAGGACCATCGAGGGGCATCGTTGATCATTTGGCGAAAAAACCACGCACGAAACCAAAAAAAGCACAGGGAATGGACGTCCGAGAGATGGCCAGGCAGAACCATGGGATCCAGGGCTCCCGTCGCGATCTGTGCCGCGATGCTTTGCACTTTTTTTGCCGCGTCGTGGGGCCCCGTAGGGGCGTCGGCAGCTGGAGGAGGAGGAGGAGGAGGAGGAGGAGGAGGAGGAGGAGGAGGGAGAGGAGGAGGAGGAGGAGGAGGAGGGAGGAGGAGGAGGAGGAGGAGGAGGAGGAGGAGGAGGAGGCGGCGGGCGACGGCCACAGGCGACGACGGCCCGGGCCGCCCCGCGAGGCCTCGGGAGGCTTGTCCCCCCGGGGTCCGGGGCCCGCTTCTCGTAGGATCCGCTCCTCCTGGCATCGCTCGGACGTGTGCATTTTTTTCTCGGCGGTTCTTCGATGTTTTTGGGGGCCAAGATCCTTTCAGTTCTACTGGTTCTATTCTGGGCCTCTTCCTGGCCACCAGGGGGCCAGGAACAATTAGAAACAAGCAGAAGTAGAAATGAGCACGATTAGACATGAACGACGTGTCGGGGTCCTCTCCTGGCATCGCTCGGACGAGTGCATTTTTTTCTCGGCGGGGACCCTCGAGGACCATCCTGGACCATCGAGGGAAAAAAAAACACGCACGAAACCGAAAAAGGCACGGGAAATGGACGTCCGAGCGATGGCGAGGTCCTCCTCACGGCACCACTTGAGCGATGCGTCGGCTGTGCCGGCATTGGCGCGCAAGCTGCCCGCGTAAGGTCGCGCGCAAGCGCCCTCACCTGCAGTGCAGCGTGCCGCGCTGGTGGCCCGCGTTGCGCGCCAGGTCACCGCTATCTCGCGCAATCCGCACGAACGGAATGGGTACAGAAAGAATGGGTACGATGCCCAACAGCAGTTCCTGTTCATTTTGAACAGGACTCGCTGTCCGCGCCGCCGCGGCCTGTGTCCATTTGAGACAGAAGGGCCGCCTGCCCAACAGCGGCCGCTGATGGTTTGGGGCAACATTTGTTGTTGGGCATTGTACCCATTCTTTCCGTGCCCATTTCGGGCGTCCAAACGCAAGGCCCATTGTTGATCGTTGCTCGAATATGGTGTCGCACTCCGCCGAGCGGCTGGTTGCTTCGGGGGCGGCGGACCCGCAGATCAGGGGATGAGAAGGCACGGATACCGCTGCCCGCAAGTCGGGCCTGTCCCTCTACAGGGGGAATATTCAAAAATGGTCCCAAAATAGTCTGGGGACTATTCTTTTGAGCATTTGTTTGCCTTTTGGGAATATGTTTGGGGTGTTTTTTATTTCTCGTCGAAAACCCCCTGTAGGGAGACACGCCAGACATAACGCTACCCTTGCTTCGTTTTCGCCTTTCTGGTGGGCCTCCTGGAAAAGACCCTTGTCGCCATGGCTGGATTCGCCTCGAGATTCTGTGGTCAGAGAGCACATCGGGAGAGGTCTGGGGAGTTGCAGCCTCTCATGGCTCGTTTCGATTCCTCCGATTCGATTCGATTCGATTTCGATGGCTTCCGATTCCGATTCGAGTCGACTTCAGATTCCGATTTGGATTCCGATCTCTCGGTGGAGGCCTACGAACTTGCTGATTTCCGCCGATTCGACTTCCCCGACTTGGCTGCCGATTTCCGCTGACTCGATCCATTTCGATCGCCGATCCGACTTATCGATTCGATTCTGGGCTCTCTTGGCCTTTTGGTTTCCCCGGCGGAGATGAACAAAAATAAGCGAATCTCTCCTCGTACCCGTAGCATATGTTGTGTGCTGCGTTGTTCGCCCGCGCAGCGCGCGCGCGGCCGCTTGGCAGAGCTCAGTCGATCTACCAGGCCGACACAGTCAGACGCGTGTCTGTCTGTTTCGAGTCCTGCGGCGAGCATGCCGCGACGAAGCATGACGCGTTTCTTGTATTGTCTTTCGTCGCCCGAGGGCGCGGGCTCGGTCGACGACGCACGGAGCGACGTTTTGTTTGTTCGTCGTCTTTGCGGGACGCCCAGCGGACAGCCCAGCACGGCCGCGGTCGACTCGTGTGTTCCCTCCAAGGGAGCCTTTCGGGAGCGAGCGTGGGGCAATGCATGTTTCGTATGAGAAATTTGCTGCCATTTTCGCGGGCTGCAGTGCTGCATGGGGGTGACTGCCGCCGCGGGCTGGCTTTTCGCGCTGCCTGCTGCGCTGCGTTCTGCTACGTGCGCGTCACGTGTCGCGCGTGCTGCCGGTGCGGACGTGCCTACTGGGTGGTACCAAGCTGTGTTGCGCGATTATTTTCCCACGCCTCTCTTTGAAACTTGCACTTGAAGATTATGCCCCATCTCTCCAGACAGACCGCAGTGCCGCGCCAACCGTGACGCAAAGGGTGCAACGCTGGCGCGACGGAGAAACCAGCCAAAACAATGATTCACACTGCATGCCGAGGCAGACACAGACCGATCTCATGCGGGGCGTTCTTGTTCAGCCGGGTTCAGAGATTGTTCAGCTGTTCTTCGTCGGATCCTTTGGCGGGGGTCGCCAGCGCCGAAGGTCCTGACCTCTGCCCGGATCCTGGAGACCCACCGTCGTTAAAAGATGCAACATCGTGGAAAGCCACGACCTGGTCTTGAGATCATAGAGTCGATTGTGTGTTTCCTCGAGGGCGGCAAAGAGGGGGGTGATGACTAGGGGGGCGGGGGGATATCATGGCGTGGGCCATGCTGTTTCGCCAGATCTCATGGCGCCCCTTCCTATCTCATTACGTCCCTGGCCCCGGGGCCCACCCCCCATCCTGGGGCCGCGCACACGCCGCCGGCCACGGTCTGCGCCCCCCCCCTCCTGGGACGCCCCCCATCGCGGCCGCTCCCGGTGTCCGCACGCGGCGCTTCCGCCCTGCTTCGGGCCCTCTGGGGCCCTCGCCGGTCGCGGCGCCGCGAGCGCCGCCGCAGACCGAGGCGGGCCCAGCGGTCTGCGGGGCCTTGGCCGCCTTCGGGGGCGGCAAAGAGGGGGGTGATGACTAGGGGTGGGTGGGTATCATGGCGTGGGCCATGATATTTCCCCAGATTTCATGGCGCCTCTTCTTATTTCATTACGTCCCTGGTCCCCCCGCTGGGCCGCGCACATGCCGCCGGTCATGATTTGCACCCCCCCCTCTTGGACACCCCCCTCTTGGCCGCTCCTGACGCCTGTGATTTCCCACGGTGTCGCACCTGTTAGGAGGGGAAATGCACACAGCCAGAACGAATCGTCGATGCCAGGGAGAAGATGGGAAGATGTGGGAAGTGCGGGGGGGGGAATGCGAAGACCCAAAAATATGCAGGAACATGTGGGGGCTCCTGGGATTTGTGTGCACCTACCTGTGCGTCCCTGGGCTCCTCGCACCTGTGGCGCGTCGTCCGCTCTTCGGGCCCTGACCCGACCGAGAGACACCCCGGCCTCGTGCATGCCCCCGGGGAGCTCTTCAACAAAAGTAGAAAACTGCCCCCCCCCATCCCCCCCTCCTCTTCCCCTTCCTCCTCGTCCTCTTCCTCCTCCTCCTGCGTACTGTAGCATACCCTCGCGCTTCGCTGGGGCAAATCATTCCAGCGTGCGCTTCCGAGGCACTGCGGGGGCGCGTCTGCACGAATCCAGTTCTAATGCACATGTGTTTCACGTTGCCAGTCTTCCTGCCGATGCGCCGTCCAGGCGCGCGCGGCTCTGTGTGTGTGTGGGGAGCGGGTCGAGACCGAGACCTCCAGGGGGCCCACGGGCTCAAGAGACGAGCCCATCGGGCGCTTGGGAAGGGGAGACCGAACAAAACAATACAAAACCAGACAAGGACAAACGACGGAAGCTTAAACAGCGGAAGCTGAAAACAAACAAACAGTTTGTTTATAGGTTTTGTCTGCGTTTTCAATCATCGTGGTCTTCGTGTTTTTTGTCGGGTTTGCGTCCGCCTCGGATGGAGGCCCCCGGCAGCGCCCCCCTTGAGGCTCACCGGGGGGGCCCACAGAAGGCCAAAGCGCCCGCGATGCTCCCAGAGAGACGTTGAAAAACCTTCGCCCTCGAGCCTTTCTGGCGGTCGAGGGCGCTCCTGAGATCGGGCGTCGCCGGCCAACTGCTCCATCGTGAAAAAGGTCACGGCCGAGCGTCGCAGACAAAACACTGCTCCATCGTGAAAAAACCTCACGACCGGGGCGCCCCGCGGCAGGTTCGTGCGGCGTTGGGCCGCCAGCGACGCCGACGAAGGCGTTCGAGGTTCAATTCTGCGACGCGGAAACACTGGTGCGCGCGGCAGCGTCCTTGGACCCGATTGGACTCAATATCGGACGATCGGGGCCGCGATCGATTCAGGGTTGAACGATCGACGCAGTGTCAAAAACCTTCGCGCGCGCCGACGCTGCACGAACCTACGGTATAGACCCTATCTGTCCGCCGCGCTCTCGAGCCAGCTCGATTCTGCGAGGCCTCCGGCCGACCGGGCGCCGGGCGGAGGCGCCCGGAGCGGAAGAACGTTGCGACGCCAAGAGCTCAGAGAAGAGACCCTCCTCCTCCTCCTCCTCCTCCTCCTCCTCCTCCTCCTCCGTCGTTCCACGGCGTTCTGCAGAGCGCTGTGGAGCGACCGCAGGCTCCAGATATTTCTCCAGAGTCGCCGGGCCTTGCGACGGAAGAGAAACGCCATGAGCAGGAACTGTTCTGGACGCCCGAAAGGGGTACGGAAAGACTGGGCGCAATGCCCAACAGCATTACTGGTTCATTTTGAGCAGGACTCGCTGTCCACGCCGCCGCGGCCTGTGTTAATTCGAGACAAAAGCCGCCTGCCCAACAGCGGCCGCTGTTGGTTTTGGACAACATTTGACAAAGAAAAAACACATCCCCAACCCCCAAAATGCGGATGATCCGAAGATCGGCCAAACAATTCGGGGTATGTTTTGCGTTCGCCGTTGTCACCCTGTTAAAACCCAGAGCCCCAAAATCTCCCTCCCCGAAGTGTCGAGAAGCCTGCATTATGTCTTGGCCCTCGCGTTTTTGGGACTGGGCGTTTGTTTTGGGTTTGTGAACATTGCTGTTGGGCATCGTTTTGCCTATCCTTTCCGTGCCCACTTCGGGCGCCCAAAACTCTGGGCGTTCCGCGCGGCTTTTTGTGGACCTGCGCTGGCCCCCCCCCCCGGCGGCGCCTCCGGCGCCGCTTCCCGGCGCGCTCCGCCCGCCGGGGGCGGGGGCCCAGCGCGGCTCCCCCCATGAAGCCGCGCGGAGCGCTCAGAGTTTAGGTCCGTGGCGCTGCTCCTCCGCCCACAGAGCCACTGGGCCTCGGAGCTCCCCGAGGTATCCTGCGTCGACTAGCGCAGATCCCCCAAAAATCCGCGCGGAGCGCCCAGAGTTTGGGTCCGTGGCGCTGTTCCTCCGCCTACAGAACCGCCGGGCCGCGGAGCTCCCCGCTGTATCCTGCGTCGACGGTGTCCAGATCCGGCCCCTCCTCGTGTCGCAGGAAACAGACACTCTTGGCGCTCCGCGCGGAGTTCTCGGATCCGCGCCGGGCTCCCGGGCGGCGTCTCCGGCGCCGCCCCTGGCGCGCTCCGCGCGCCAGGGAGGGGGGCCCAGTGCAAACCCAAGAAATCCACGCGGACCGTCGAAAGCTTAACTATGCTAATGTGCTCTTTCTTTTTTTCTTTCTGTAAGAACCGCCGGGTCTTGGAGATTCCCGATGTATCCTGCGTCGATGGTGTCCAGAATCGGCCTTCTTCGTTGTCTCGCCCTCTGAGTGGGCGGCGAGCCTTAGAAGGATGAGGGGGATGCTTATGATGATGACGATGATGATGATGATGATGATGATGATGGTGGTGGTGGTGATGATGATGCTGATGCGTATGATGGCCATGGAAACCATGATGCTGCTGGTAATGCTGATCTTGATGATGTTGATGATGGTGGTGATGATGATGGTACTGGCTGTGATGATGACTACGATGATGCTGATTATGATGATGCTGATGGTGATGGTGATGATGATGATGATGACGACGATGATGATGATGATGATGATGATGATGATGATGATGATGATGATGATGGTGATGATCGTAATCATGTCATCTTATTCAGATGGCGAGGATGGTGATGAGCTGGAGGATGATGAGGATGATGATGGGCAGCGTGAAGGGTGGGCCGCAGAGATTCGGCGGCGACCCCAGCGGCTGCACTGCTTCGCGGCCGGGGAGTCGGAGGACCCGCGCGGGGGGGGGCCGCCGCACAGAGCCGGCCGCCTGCGGCTGCCTCGCTCGGAGCGCTGGTGGCATCCTTGGGATCCGGCGTCCCCCAGGCCCTCTCGCGTCGAGCAAACAGAATACAGCTCAGGGGGGGAAGAGGTACCCATACCTCTACCCCCCGCCCGTTTTGACCTTTTTGGGCCTCCTGGGAGGCCCGTGTCGCCACCGCTGGATTCGCCTCGAAATCCTGCTCAGAACGCACCCCGGGAGAGGTCCGTGGAGTAGCGGTATCGGCACCTTCCCCATACAGCGGCATGGTTCTGAACGATTTTCGGCATCTCGGGGATCTCGTCAGGCTCCCGGACCGTCCAATATCGACTGCATGGCTGAAGAACTTGTCCCGGGGAGCGGGTCGAGAGCTCCTGGGATTTACGCTGTGAAGGAGGTAGGGCGTCGGGCGTCTGGGTCGCGGAGAGATGCAGCGTCGAGGGTGATGGGCTCGTTTTCCACCACCACCACCACCACCATAAGTTGGATGGGGGGGATTGAGGTGGACGAGGAGGAGGAGAAGGACGAGGAGGAAGAGGAGGAGGAGGAGGAGGAGGAGGAGGAGGAGGAGGAGGAGGAGGAGGACCAAGCCACGGGCCCAGGAGGGGCGGGGCCGTCGTCGCCTCGTCGGTCGCCCCAGTCGGCCTCGGCTCGCGCGCTGCGGGCCATAGGCGCCGCAGCCGCGGCGGCAGGAGCCGCCACGCCCCGAGCAGGGGAACCTGCGTGGCACCGCCGCGCCCGCCAGGCTCGCAGCCAAGATCGTCTTCTGGTTTGACTGGCAGCGGCAGCCACCAGACTTGGCCAACACCACGGTGCGCAGCAGCCCCAGCGCAGCAGCACCACCACAGCGCGCAGCAGCCCCAGCGCCACGATGGCCTCCAAAGGTCAGGGAAAGAGCGGCAGCAGCACGGGGGGGCAGGCGCCAAGATGGACAGCACATCGTGCCGAAGGGTCCACGGCAACAGGCCCCCCCGTTGGAGGACAACCCTGACCATGGAGGAGTTCTTCGAGTGCGAAAAGCAGGTACAACGACAACTACTACCAGGACAACTATTACTACCAGGACAAGCGAGGCTCAGCGAAAAGATCGGCTGCAAGAAAGAGAAGGAACAGTCCGAACGTGACTCAGGAGCCGAAGTTGCCAAACAAGCAGGCCGAGATCGTAGACCATATCATGCCAGCCCTCCTCCCGGTCGCTAAAGAACATGAAAGCCTTATCTTCCCTCCCCAAGAGCGAAATATTCGTCGGGTGTGGTATGCTACTAAGATAGCGAGACTTGGTCGTATTGCTGAGCACATCGCTGGTGCCAGGCAAGCCCAAGTGGGCACGACCATGTTATGCCGCGAAGGTGCGATCACGAAGACAATGGTCCAGCTGATTATCGAGCCCACAGAGAGGATCGTCGCCTACAGGCACCAGATCGAGGAGCTCAACACAAGAAAGCAAAAGATCGCGACCAGCATCCTAGAGTTCAGCAACGAAGAAGAAGGAGCCCAGTGAGAGTATCACGGCAACAACGGCCTTCATCCAGGAGACGAAGAGGCTCAAGGACGTCACGGGCAAAGATGAAGACTCCAGTTGCGACAGCGACAGCGACAGTGAGCACGACAACAGAGGCACCCGTGGCAGGCCCCCCCACCCCGCAACGCGACAGCGGTAGCAAACACCACGCACTCCACGGGCAGCCAAAAATGAAGGAAGCAGCGAAGACGGCGAAGCCGACATGAGGAGGCAGGTCGAGGAGCTGACGGAGCGGCTCGACGACCAACAGCGGCATCAAGGTATCCACCAGCACCACCTCTCCTTCCTCAGTTATGAGCATGCCAAACAGGAACAACAGCAGCGACGACACGCCGAACAATGCGAAGAAATGAAGGTGATGTCCGTCAGGATGGAGGCAGAACGGAGTGAAAAGATTTGATGAGGAGCTGGGATCAGAAGCCCGACTGGAACCTCGACAGGAGCACGCTGAAGCCCAGCTCCAGGTTCGCATGTATTTACAGCATGAAGAGAGCCGACTCGCACAACAAGCGCGCGCAGTTCAAGAAGCATGCATCGCCGACGAGGTTCGTTTCGCCCACCAGGCTCGTCTGGTCCATGAAGCGAGAGAAGTTTTCGCAGTGCAGCAGCAATGCCTCGCTCATCAAGCGCTGCTCGCCCAGGCACATCATCGCGCGCAAGACGCAAGGGAAGCACAGGTAACGCGTGAGCAAAACAATCCTACGAGCAGCACTTGATCGGCGAGTACAACAAGATGCGCAGGGGGCAGGCCCAGCTGCTGCAACGCGAGAAGGCAGAGGCTCAGGCCACGAGGTCGATCAACGAGATGGCGAGCAACGAGCACACCCAGATGCAGCACGCAAAAGAAGCTATTCTAGAATAGTACGGTCAGCTACACGCCCAGCATCACTACGCCATCCACGAGCAGCATCAGCGCGACCAGGCGATCACCATGACGCTCGCGCCCGGAGCCATCTCCAACGCCGAGAATGCAGCGAGAGAAGCGAACCAGCACGAGACCGCGGAACAAACAAGAAGAAGTGCACGGCGACCTCCACAGCACCCGCCACTGGGATATGGACCTGGACCCGGACATCCTGCACGAAATCGACATTCAGCTGAGGGGGCAAGATGATGGGCAAAAGAAGAGGCAGGCCATGGCGGATCAAGAACAAGCTCATGCCGAACGTGAAGTTAAAACGGCTCTTCATCTCATCTCCCCGAGCACCGCCGACAGCGACGCATGCGGTCTCCCGCCCCGCCCCTTGAGGAGAGGCAGCGACAGCAGCCCTCCCCGCCGCAGCACGACAGACTCCGACGCATGGGGGCGGTCAGAACCAAGGGCGGCAGCTACTGCAACATGTCCGTGGTCTCGGTCCACGACCCCAGCAGACGACAAAGACAACAAGGCCGAAGACAAGAACGACGATGTGGGCGCACGAACGCACGCCCCAAGCGACGCCGACGAAATTGACCCGACCCCCGTTGCCGAAGACAAGTGCCCCTGCCCAATTCCGACGCCACTTCCACCAACATCCCCTACTGAGCAACCAATTCCAAAAGGACCACCACCCCGATCTCCCGACTTCGACCGTCCTAGCTCTGTCCCATCGCCCAACGTACGCGCCGGCGACAGCGCCGTCAAAACCAGCAAACCCACTACTACGATCCTGGTCGACATCGCATCAGGAGACGACGCGGAGCACCCATCTACACCCTGAAGGATACCTCTCTCAGACATCTCACCCGCGGCCCCAATGGCCCCAATCCAGCCCCCTCCGAGATTCCACACGGGGACGCCTGACAGGGCAAGATCAGCCCCACCCCCTCGGACCGCCCCAAGGAAAGGTGACTCCAATGCCAGAGCGACGCGACCCAAGAAGGTCCGCATATGCGACATTGGAGACGGATTCGCAGACCCTGGAGACCGCGCCCCAGCCTTCATCGACGGCAGCGGGGCCAACTCCGACTCCAACTCAAAAAATTAATAAAGCCACAGCTTCCTGTGGGGGGGCGACTGGCCCAGGAAGAAAGCCCACAACAGACGCCGGAAGACCCGGAGTCTTCGTGCCCAGCGACATCGGCTCGTGCAGTGCTGCCGCGACGCAGCGACCTCGTCACCACCTCCCCCCCGTCCCAAACCGTGCTACATGCATTGGGGATAGCGCGCCGCACCTACCCAACCCCCAACCCAACCCGATGCCACACCGCCGGCGGGCAAACCACTCTACGCAGCTGCTGCCGCCAGCTAGCGGACCGTGGAACACCACCTCGGCCGCTACATCTCGCATGGGGGAAGCGAGAAGGTTCAGTGGCTCGGCATCGCCAAATAGACGCCAGGCGCTCGGCTTGGCGGAACCCCATCGTCTTCAGCACACCGCGGCACGTTCCACATGACAAAACACCAGAGGCCCAGTCGCGGTCGGTTCCGACGTCGACGACACCTCCAAGCACGCCGCCTACTACGGGAAGGTTCGCCTGGGACATCACTCCCCACCGACCGCCGCCACGCGCAACCCGCGCCGAGCAAGACGTCGAGCAATTCAGGAAGGCGCGCTTCTCCCCCTGCATCACGGCGACAGGCAGGGCCCACAAGCATGGCAGCCCGAGTCACGAGTGGGCAATCTATTCGGGCGGCTGCCGAGGCATTTCCTCGCCCAACGCTGGAATGAGGAGTCAACCCCCAGCCAGCGCAGGCCATCTCCAGCAGCAGGCCAGGGGGGCGCAGGCGGTGCTTCTGGGCGAAATAAACCAGAAGAGCCGCCCCCTGGCCCAGCAGAGGCCGCCACATCTCCAGACGACATCCGCGTCGACAACCAGCGGCAGCAGGCCAGGGGGGGCGCAGGCAGTGTTTCCGGGCGGAACATGCCAGAAGAGCCGCCCCCTGGCCCAGCAGGATCTGCGACGCGACCTGGCGACCTCCAGAGTCACGGGCAGCCATGCGACGCAGCTTCGGCTGGGCCCTGGCGGTTCTCCAGGGCCAGCCCTTGCATCGCTCGCCCACGGGGCCCCCGCCACCACGAGGACAGAACGACTCCCAGGGCGCGGCCATCTAGGGCGAAGACTTCGAGCCCCCCGCGAATCGACCAACCCGCGCGCCATGGTATTCCCTCGGCGCCTAGCCATTTTGGCTCTCAGTCGCCACCTCCTTCCTCTCCAGGAGGGCCGCTCAAGATCACCAACAAGGGGGCCGACCACCGGAGACTGACGCAGCATCAGCAGCAACGACTGCACCCCGCCGAGGAGCTGCACCAAGCCCAGCACCACTGCGACGAGAAGTTTTGACCCTGGCGACTTCCCAGGGCCAGCGTCGACCCCGATCGGCCCCCTTTGGCCTTCGGTAGCGGCAGCCACCCACGCAGCATCCCAAACGTCGAAATTTCGCTCATCAACTCACCGCTCCAACGCCGCAATGACCCACCAGCTACCAAGCCCAGCCTTCCCGCCAGACCCCGCAGCAGATCACCGCATCAAGGTGCTCCGACGACACAGCTAAAACTCCCGAGCCCCCACCTACTCTTTGCCATTTCACTGCCTCCACAACGCCGCGACCACCTCGACCCGCCCATCCCCTCGCAGCCGCGCCGTGCAGAGCCACCACGGGGAGAGCAATCCAGCCATTTCGTGCCCCCATCAGCCAAACTACCACTTCCACCCGACCTACAGCAGCAGCCACCAGCACCGCCACCCCACGGCCGACGAGCAGAGTCGACTTCCAAGCACGACCCACAATCAAGCAGACCCTACAGCAGTCCCAACATCCAGCATTGACCTTCGAGCTCCACGGCGAAAGCTTCAACGAGACCGTCGAGTGCATGTTGCGCCACTACCCGCTGGGACCACTGCGCCCGCGTGCCAAGTTCCACCTCTTCGCCGACGGCTCCAAGCACCCCGAGCAGCCGAACGAGGACGCATGGGCAGTGGGCATAGTTGGCGAAGACGAAGGCGGCTTCACGCACCCAGGAGCGATCGTCGGGAAGCATGAAAGGCGCTACCGGCATCGCCTCGAAGGATAACAGCAACCCCGAGACCACATCTACCACCATCGAGATCACCGCGCTCGCACGGCCCTTCGCCAGGGTAATTCACCGCGGCCTCGACGACGTCGCCACGGTGCCCACGGACTCGCCGGGGCCCTTGCAGCTCGCGAAGAGGGCGGCCTTCACGAGTCACGACCCTGACCTCGCATGGACCCCCTGCGTCTTCTACGACATGGTCAGGCAGAATTCGCGCCCGCGAGAACAACCCTTGGAATGAAGTTGCCGGTGCAGCCTCGAATCGCGGACGAATCACTGCGGCACCAGGTCCACAGCAAGAATGGGCAGTCACCATGGGCGGCGCCCACCAACGAGACTGGGAGTTCCTGAACGACGCCGACGAAAACACCACGGAGGCATACCCCAACTTCGAGCACGGCAGCCTCGCAGCGTCTTGCGCCCCCACGGTCGCCGCCGCCAGCCACCTCCGCGAGCCCGCCGAGGCCAGCGACAAAAGGACCGATATATACATATACATACATATATACACATATCAACATCGCGACCTTCAACTCCCAGACTGGTCAGGAAACATATTCAACGATAAGATCAACAAACGCAAGACCACCATGGCCAGCCTCTACGACGAGGACCTCCACATCATCGGCATTCAGGAAGCCAAGGCGCCATGGGGCACGCGCGACACAGACAAGGAGGCGACGCCACTTGTGCCAATGCCAACAGCTACCACGTCAACTCCAGCGGCCACAAAGGATATAACCACGGATGCGAGCTCCTTGTCCATCTCGATAAGCCATGCGGGAGACGTGGCAAGAAAGGGCTGTACTTCAAGCCCGGCCAGATCATCGTCACCGAGAAGGGCCCCAGGCTCCTCGTCATCTGCGTGAGCGCGCCTCGATTCTCCCGCGTGCTCTGTGCTGCCCACGCCCCCCACTCCAAAGCCCTCGAGACCGAAAAGATCAGCTTCTGGAAGAACTCGCGAACGCGACAGAGGAATGCCAGATAAGCATCATCCTGATAGACGCCAATGCCAGGACAGGGGGCACCACCAGCTCAGCGATCGGCGACCAAGGCATGACGCAGAAGGAAGATCCAAACGGTCGAAGGCTCCATGAGCTACGCCTCTCCAGCAACCCTGCGGCCGCCCGCGCGTTCGTCGGCCAAGGGCCTGAACGCTGCACCTGGCATTCAGGAAAGAATCCCCCACCGCATCGACTACATCGTCATACCCAAGGGCTACGTGGACTCGATCTAGGCATGTTCTGTCCTATATGGCATCGGCAGCGGCTGCGACCCCGATTCCAAGGGCGACCACTACCCCGTCAGGCCGGGGCTCGCATTCGAGATCACGTCTTCAACCTCCATGGGCGTCCCCAAGCTTGACGAGCACAAGCTAGCCGACGACGCCTGCCGCAAGAAGACCAGCGACAAACTACAAGGCATCCCGCACCCCAGCGTGGTGCACCAACATCAACGACCACCTCACCACCGTCACCGAGAAGATAACAGAGGCCGCCTGCGAGCGCTCCCGCCCCCATGGCCGCAACCCACACATGCCCTTGATCTCAGATCGGTCAGTTGCCCTTCTACGTACTCGCCGATCATTGCTCAAGACGGCCCGAATTACCAAGAAGAGCGGGATCGCCAGCGAGCATGGCACGAAGCGGCTCCGATACTCAGCAAGGATCTCATCGAACGACGCCATATTGCCCAACCCTGCTGACGCGGAGCACCTGGTCAACATCGACGCCTACGCCCAGCTCATTACCGCGTCCATAACCTTCGGCGCCTCTCCCCCCTCGAACAAGCGCACGCCACAGCGCCCAGTGCCGCTGCAACACTAACCGACCACCTCGACCGCGCAAAGCACTACTACGACACGATCGTCCAGTTCCTCAACCTAACCAGGCCGATGTTCAGGACCTGGGTCAGGGAAGACCGCGACGCATTCCTGGAGAAGACCGCCGACGAAATGAGCGCCGCCATCGACAACCACTCACCGGGGCAAGAAGCTCCACATGCCAAACGACTGCTGGCCTTCCGAGGACGAAAGCCCAACAATCCGCCCACGCCCTCCATCCGCAGCACCGCAGACGGAAAGCCACCCACAACCAAGACCAGCATCGCAAATGACGCCCTGGCATACAACGGCAAGGTCGAGATGAGCAAGACCACCGACGCCGACGTGGTAGCCAATGACTACAACGACCGCGCCAGCACAACACGACCCGCACCCAAGATCCAGAACATCATGCCCAGACACCAGCTTGCCAGCCAATTGTCCGCTGCCAAGAGAGGGCGACGAGGAGGGCCCAACCGGGTCACAAACGACATGTCCAGAGCAGACCCCGATGGGGTGGCGCGCCTACCACGCCCCATACTGGTCAAGACCCAGGTCGAGAGCGCCGAACCCATCGCCGCCAAGGGCGGGTACTCCACGCACTTCTATAAGGGGCGGGGTGCCATGGAACAGCAGAAGTCCTACCGCGGGGTCTTCCTCAACAGTGCCATCGGGAAGATGCACAGCAGCTTTCTGCCTTCCAGAGTGAAAGTCCTGCTTCCCAACCTTCTGGAAGCGACGCAGTGCGGTGCAAGACCCAAGATGGCTTCTGACTTCATCACCCACACATCCCTCGCTGTCATTACTGATTGCCAAAGAAGGGCCAGATCGGGCGGCATCACCTTCCTCGACCTCGTAGAGGCCTTCCACTCTGTCACCTGGGAATTCTGCATGGAGCCCCCCACCGCCCCCGACGAACTTGACGACCTCATCGAGCAGATAGACATTCCAGCCTTTCTCAAGCCTTCCCTCATCGACAGATTGAAGCAGCCTGCCTACAACAACCAACGCATCGACGATCAGCACCTTTGCCGCATCACAGCCGACCACCACACCTCCAACTGGATGACCGCGAAGAGCGCTAGGCACTACCAGCAACCACGGACAAGCACACGACCCGGCGTTCCCTACTCCGACGTCGCCTACAACACCCACTTCGCCATCATGCTGAGGGCAATCGACCACGCAGCCTCAGATGCAGATGAAGGCGACCAACCATCAGGAGGCCGCGACATACCCGCAGGGCAGACCCCGCTCTTCTCTGCGACACCTCACGAGGGCGGGGCACTCAGGAACGTGTCTTTCGTTGACGACCTCGCAATCTACAACTCGGCAGACAGCGCTAGCGACTTACTACATGTTACTCGGCTCTCAGCCACCAGACTGCACGCAGCAGCCTGCCAGGATGGACTCAAGCCCCACCCCGACAAGACCACGGCTATCCTCATGCACTACGGCAGCGGGGCCAAGAAAGAGCGCCAGAAGATCGCCAGGGAGAAGGTCACCCACACCGAGCTAGAGAACACCCCCATCAAAGTCCAGCTCGTGACCCAGCAGAAAGCCCTCGGCACCATCATCAGCGCTGGAGGAGTCATGGACCCCAGCGTGAAACAGAACACTTCGGCGCAGCAAGACCTCTCGAGAAACAGATTCTCCTTCGCAAGAAGTTATCGACTAAGGCCAAGATGAAGTACGTCCACGCCCTCTCGACCTCGGCGCCCACCTACGACCGCCACGTGTGGAACCGCCTGCCAAGAACGAGCGCGACCACATCGCGACCAAGTACATGGGACCTTGCCGCGTGGCGGCATCCATGCCCAATACAACCGCGCCCGACAAGCACTTCATCAACAGCGAGGCGATTGCGAAGACGGGCATCCCCGACTTCGACGCACACACCAGACGACAGCCCGTCCACGTTACTTTCCCCGCCTCCTGAACCACGCCCCGCCGCGTTTTTCGAGCTATCCCGACAGTCAGCGACAACAAAGAGGGACATGGAGCCACCTCCTCGAGAGAAGGACGTTGCCTTTCTCAGAAAACACTTCCCACAATACCGATGGCCAAGTAAGGGTCAGCAGGACAAAGAGGGACATGGAGCCACCTCCTCGAGAGAAGGACGTTGCCTTTCTCAGAAAACACTTCCCACAATACCGATGGCCAACTCAGGGTCAGCTGGACAGCGACTTCATCAATTGGGCCAGGCAAAAGCCCAAGCTCTTCACCGACGCGGTCAAGGCGGCCACCAAGTCCTACCTGCACTACGCACGACGCCAGGCTCAGCTAGCCAGGTTCCATAGAGCCATACGAATGCCCACGGCCACATCGAGCACCGTCGAGACAGAGAACCCCGACCACGACTCCAAGACCCAGTACGCATGCTACATCTGCGGCCGCGCGGCAGCCAACTAGGGAATGGCAGTGCAGATGGGGAGGGACCACCCCGACAACGAGAACCCTCGACGCTGGGCAACAGGTACAGCGCGCAGGCGCTGCCAGGCGGAGTTCCACATCTTCCAGAGACTCCTGAAGCCTCGCAGTGGCTCGTCGCTGCTGCAAGCCGCGGCGCGCATGGCACACCTTGACGATGGACCCCCTCGCCGAGCAGCAAATCGCCGAAAACCTCGACGCCGTCGCCACGACCACTACAGCCAACAAGAAGAGCGGGCGGCAAGCCACATTCAGCGAGGTACCCGCCTACAAGATCGACATCGCGCCCCTGCCAATCACCGAGAGTTCCCCCATCCTTCCCGAGGCTCCCGCTGCTATCCAGCCGACCGTACCCCAACCAAGCACAGCAAAGGTACCTGGGCCAGCTGAACGACAGGAAGTTTTATTCATAACGGACCGACCTCGGCAGCACAGCGACCTGCACCAGATCGTGGCAACCAGCGCAATCTCTAGCATGAGCGGGTTGGACTACCGCACGATCGACTCCAACTACGACTCCGAGGCGCCGACATCAGATCACGACCTCCAGCACATCCGCGGCAGGATCACGAAAGGAGAGATCGCCGCCGTATTAGCCGAGCTACCAACAATTCCTGGCACAGCCACGACAACGCCGAGGTCGCCACCAACTACGCCAGTAGCCGTCGCCCCAAAGCAAGGCCAGGGGGACCGGTCGACGCCGCAGGAAGAACCGCCATCGAGCTGCACGCGGCCAACTCCATCACTAGGGAGATCCTCATGACCATTCGCGCGGCCGCAGAGGCCACGGTTCCCTCCCTCGCCATGCGCGCCCAGGAATCCATCCTCTGGGCGACCCCTGAGAACCGCCACGTCATCAGGCACCCAGATCAACGACTGGGGCGAAGGGGGCGAAACCGTTTGGGATACCATCGATACAGACCCCAGCAGCAAACCCTTCTCCACCCATATCTGCAGCCCCGTCTACGGCTACGTGACTCCACGCAATGGTCATGGCTGCTATACTGACTCCTGCGACGACATGCGGTCTGATACGGAGCCTGGAGTCAGCGAGCAAAGTCCCAGCGAGCCAACTCGGCCACTAGGCGCGACGTCGCCGTGTAAGCCGGAGGGCGTTAGAGCGCAAAGACGTAGTGTGCCACTGCGGCTGCTAGGCACGTCGTCACCACGTAAGCCGGAGGGCGTTGGAGCGCAAGGTCCTAGTGTGCCATTGCAGCTATTTGCTAGGCAACAGTTCGCCACGTGAGCTCGGGGGCCCAGCAAACGGCACTGCTTCTGGCACTGACGGAATATATGGAACGACGGACATTACCTCTCGCATGGCTGACAGCAAAGATGGAAGGTCGCTATATCCAGCCCGATGGCCAAGCAGATGCACGCCTAACAGTGGAGCCCGAGAGCGAGTTTGACGACAACAGCGGGCACCTCTTCAAGCGCGGCAGCCCGCGGCCAGAAGACCGAAGGGCGGGCTGCCCCCGCCGCCAGAATGACAATGTGCAACTCGCCACCACGGGCAGCCCGCAGCCACGAGGCCGAAAGGCGGGCTGCCCGAAAGAGGCGACGACCTCGAGAAGGAGAAGCCCAAAGAGCGGAGGAAAGACATGCGCCTGGCAGCCCGCAGCCCATGAGCGGCCGAAGGGCGGGCTGCCAGTAAAAACACCGCGCCCCACGGCAGGCCCCCAAGTGGAGCCGCCGCCTCGCGTGGCAGGCGAGGCAGAGCCGCTGTCCAGCCAGGGCGGCAGTGGCTCATCCACAGAAGGTGGGGCCCCCTTCAGCTCGCGAGCCGAATGGGGGGGGGCCCGCGCAAAGACGCTGGCGAGAAGGTTGGGCCCCCTCAGCTCGCGAGCCGAAGGGGGGGGGCCCAACGCAACGACAAGAAGGACTCGTTCGTCGACTACAATAGGACGACGGACTAAGGGCTACGGCGCGCGGTGCGCGCGCTGTGGAGCCCTCATCGGAAGGCCCGAGGGGAGGGCGACCCTCCCCCCCTCCAACTTATGGTGGCGGTTGTGGAAAACAGGCCCATCAGAGGGAATTCGCCACCAGATCTTGAGATCTTGGCGTCGCATTTTTCCCGCAGTTGCGGGCCCTGGGCAGCCCTCGCAGTGCGGTCTGGCTCGAGGCGTGTCGCGGGGAGATACGTCTATAGAGCTCTGGCTGTATTTGTTCACGATGTTGATCTGCTCCCCGCGCCTCCGCATTCTTCGAGCCCGATCGATCTGTGATGGCTCCAGGGTTCGAAGCCGTGCCGGCGCGGAAAGATCGTGGTGCCCTGATCTCAGGGGTTTGCGTTCCGTCTCCCGACGTTTTTTTGTTGTTTTGTTTGACGTCGACCCTTGGGGATATCGACCCTTTCCTCGGGCCAGTTTTTCAACCTGAATTGTTTTTTGAAGGTCCTGGGGCCTGGCGAGGACCCCCAGAGGCCGACAAGGGCGAAAAACGTCCGCTTTGATTTGGTTCAAGACGTTTGAGGTCGGGGCTCAGGGGTTTGGGTTGCAGGAGAGAGCGTCGATTTTGGGGTGTTGTTTCGTGGGGCCCAGGCGCCGGGCAAGATCGCGAACTTTGCGTCGTCCAGATTCGGGCACCGGGTCCTGCAGAAGTCGGCTCGGGTTAAAAAATGCGGCAGAGAGGGTCGGGCCCAGAGTTCTGGTCAATTGTTTGACGGTGTCATGTTTTTCGCGACGCTGGACTTCGTGGAAACGCGGCTAACACGCGGGTCAAGGCTGACCCTAGCTTTGGAGACAGGGTGTCTTAGAGCCTTTTCATCATTGACGAGCGGCCGTGCTGCAAGGCTGCGAGTGGTGCCCTCGGACGTTCTGTGATCTGACGTGTTTTGATCGGCGAAGGGGCTCGTGTTAAGTCGGGCCTGTCCTTCCACAGAGGGGAATGTTCAAGAACAGTCAAACAATTGTCGGGGGCGGATTTGTGCACCATTTTTGGCCAGTTTTGAGAATTTCTCGCGTGTCGTTACTTCTTCGTCCAAGATCGGCCTGTCTGGGGGGCGTGCCCGACCTAAGGTTAGATCGGGCGTGTCACCCAACAGGGGGATTTTTGACCAAAAATGCCCCCAAATATAAAAACAAAATATGCTCAAACAGTCGTCGAAACATCGTCCCCAGATTTTGTTTTACTTATCTTGCATCTTCCTCCTGTAGAGGGACAGGCCCGATTTCACTGTAGGGGGACATGGCCGCCCTAAGGCTCGTGGCCACGCACGGCGTTGCTGCGGGCCGGGCCCCGTTCACCTGGACAAGTCGAGACGATGCTCGATCTGCTCCGCGCGCGGCCTCCGGAGTCCCCTTTCGACCCTTTTCCCCTGAGCTACGCTTTGAAGTCGGGCCTGTCCCTCCACAGGAGGAGGATCCAAATATAGCTAACAACAAATCGTACGGAGACGATTGTTGGACCATGTTTCACCACTTCTGACCATTGTTGATTGTTTGGGGGTATGTTTGATTTGTCGTCCAAGATCCGCCTGTAGGGGGACGCGCCCGACCTGGAGCTACACGCCGACCTACGTGCTGTCCGACGAAGGGCTTAAGGGTTGTCTAACCCTTCCGGGCTTACGCTCGAGCGTAAGGGCCGTATACCCAATTTAAAGGGTCGACCTGCATGCTTCCCCGACCTCCATTCGAGATCCCCTCTGCTAAACTGTGGTTTCTGATCTCATCGCCCTGGGATTGTAATGCTCCGACCTACTTTAGCCTTGGTCACCAGAAAGAATTTCGAGCGCCCAGAAAACTACCGAAACTCAAGGGTTTCACGTGTCGGGCCCTGGGAGACACTCGCCCGACGCTGTTCCGACACTGTTCCGACACTCTTTTGACACTTTTCCGGGTGCTCGAAATTAGTTCTGGGATGTGGTCCGTAAGTAGGATGGGAACAACATAACCCTGGGATAATTTTCGATAGTCACGGGGGCCCAGTAACGGCCCCTGCAGCCGAGACCGATGAAACATACCAGGATCGGAAGTGTCACAGCGCCAGAGAATCGAGCAGTAAACTCCAGCTGGCAAGGGGTGACCAGGGTGATATCGCCACGTCGCCAGGCTCACTGCCGAGTCGAGCATGCGGGGTGCGCTGCGCATCGCGCGCTCCTTGACAGCGGAGGTGCGCGCCCTCGACGTCGCGCTACAAACATTTGGAGTCGTCTGCGGGGCAGCACGCACTGCGGCGGAAGGAGACATACTGCAGCAACAACGCCCAAGTTAGAAATAATCAAATGGCCGCCTCCATCCTCTCGCCCGTTCCCGGCTTTGGACGCACCTCCATCCAGAGCCCGACGATCACCGCGATGTAGCAGGCATGGCATTCGGATCACTGCACGGGCTCGTTCAAGTCCAAACCGTGGGGTCTCGAGCGTAACCACTGCTCGCGGCTGTGGACGCGTGCTTTTTCGGAGCCTTCTGACCGACGCGACGTACATTTGGACCACGCAAGGTGGAGCCGCCAGGAAATACTGCGCGGGCCCGTTCGAGTCCTGGTGTGGATATCTCGAGCCTCACGCCCATCCGCGGCGGTGGCCGCCTCTCTACTCGCAGAGCCTTCTGGCCACCCCGCTGTAGCAGGCATGGCACTTGGGCCACCCAAGGGGGAACTGCCAGGGGATCTTGCACTGGCCCGTTTGTTGGGAGGTGCCCTCAGCGAAACGCCCGTTCGTGGTGGTGGACGCGCCCCCGAGTAGTCAGAGCGGTATGATCACGGCGATGCAGCAGCCATGGCATGCGGACCACCCGAGGGGAGCCGCCATGGGGTCTTGCACGGCCAGCTCGCGTCCGGACTGCGGGGACGTCTCAAGCGAACAGGACCCTTCGCAGCTGTGGAGGCCTCCCATCGCCTTCCCGCTGCCCGCCTCCTCGGGTCTTCGAGCTGGCGCTCCCCAGCGCTCCTCGGAGCCCCCCGCCGCTCCACAGCGCGGGAGGGATGCGGAGGAGCACCCAGTGCCCCGGCGTCGCGTGCCTCGACAGCCATGCGCGTGTGCT